TGCTCAAACTGCTACACTGTCCTACCTTGGAAAAAAACTTGCACCTTTGTGAGGACAAGAAGTTTTAAATATGTAAAGCTGTGTTTAATGAGAGTGTGCAAAATATTACAGGTGAACGGATTTAATTGTCATTGCATGTATCTGCACAGCCCGGAGACGGGCTGAAGGTGTTTGGGTAAGTAATAAAATTACGGTGAAGTTTTAGTCGTTCGTTTCATAACCTTAATTTCAGCAAAATCATCTAAGTATGTTGTTCTAATCAAAATTTTCATACAAACAGCGTTCTATTAACAATAACACCAAATTATATAACTCTCGGATTATTGTAGCTCTTGGTGTTATTTTATTTTACTCTGTTTGGTGGTGCTGGGGATGAAACCCAGGGCCTCATGCATGCTGGACAAGTGCTCTACCACCAAGCTCCACCCCTACCCCCAGCTCTTGGCATTTTTGTACAGCTTGAGAAAACTTTGCTCTGCTAAGGCAACAGCAGCTGAAGTTATCAACAAAATCCTTAAAGCAATACTTATTTTTTTAAAGTGAGAAATCAGGGTTCACGGTTGGCAAACACAGAGTTTGGAAACTGTCCCTCCATCCCAATACCAAGTACAGAGTTTAACACACTACAAGCCAACAACTCTTCTTAGACATGTATGTGGAAAACCACTGCCCCTGAAATCGGAGAGATAAAGAGGCAGATACAGAAAATCACAAGTCACCAGAGCAGAGATCCCCCGGGGAACCAGCACAGGGCGGGAAAACCAGAACGGCCACTGGTGACTTGCTAGAGGCTGGCATTATTGCTGTGATCTGGCATTACTGTTGAAGGCTTAGTCCCAGCCCTTTCTGCTGTTTGGGAGGTGGTGACATCTTTAAGGGGCAGGGCCTAGGGAAAAGCCTTCCTTACTAGCGCCTTCCATTATCCTTCAGAAATGAAAGGGGACGGTAGGGATCCACCCGCTTCCTGTCTTTCTTTGCTCCTAGCCACTGTGAGGTGAGCAGCTTCCCCCACCCCACTCTCCCCGCCGTGAGACCCTCCTTGTGGCAGGCCCGGCAAGGCCAAGTCGCCATGGACTGAGGCCTCTGAACCGTGAACCAAATCCATCTTTCTACCTTCCGAGTTGATTATCCAGTGCCTAACCCATTGCCCGAGCATGCTGTGGCTTTAACAAGGCTTGCCCTCAGGGAAAGGGCTTTACCAGAGCCTGACCTATGGGGTGTTAGCAGAGCTAACCAACCTGGGGGAAGGGAAAGAGCCAACCCTACCTGCTCTGGGTGTCCTGTCCCACTGAAGGGAGATTGAAAACTGAGAAGTACTTGTAAAGTTCACAGTCCAGGGACGTAGCTGGAGACTTAGTTGTGGGTCTCAGGATGTTTCCCCTCCCTTCACCCCTTGACGCCACATTCCTGAAGTCCTCTCCACGCAGTTCCTTTGTCCCGCACGCCATATCCAGCTCGTGACCATAATTACAAGGCACACTGTCAAGCAAAACCCACAGCTTGACGACACAGAGCAAGCACCACACCAACTCAGATGTGGCAGCGATATCGGAATTCTCAGAACACAAGCTTAAAATAATTACGATTAATTTGCTGCAGGCTGTAAAGGAAAAAAAAGAGCCCATGAAGAGCAAATGTGTAACAAGAGTAGAGAAATGGAAATTCTAAGGAAGAGTAAATAAAAACTGCTAGAGACAACAACAAAAAACCTTACTATTCCAGAAATTAAGATGCCTTTGATAGGCTCGTTGGTGGCCAGGATAGAGTTGAGGAAAGGAGCTTTGAGCTCAAGGATATGTTAACAGAAGCTTCCAAAACTTAAAAAGAAAAAGTCTGGGGGGAAAATGGGACATAATATCCACAAACTGTGGAAAAACTATGAAAAGATCACATGTATATAATGAGAATACCAGAAGGAGAAGGAGAGAAAAAGGATCAGAAGAAATATTTAAAGTGAGAACGACTGCGCATTTCTTCCAAATGCATGTCAGGCACCAACCACGCCACACCCGTTCTCTAAAATCTCTTCCAGAAGATAGGTGCAAAGGGGAATTCTCCCGAGCTCATTCTAGGAGAGCAGTGTTCTTAATACCAAAGCCAGACAAAAATGTTACGAGGAAAAAATCTGCAGACTGTATCTCTAATGAACATAGCTGTAAAACTCCTCAGTGAAACGTTAGGCTGTGGAATCCAACAGTATGTAAAAATTGGCCCACCAGGACCACGATTTATGCTGTGCTTCAACATTAGAAAATCAGTTCATGGAATCCACTGAATCATGGATAAAAAAGTCCCACAAATTTTAGGGTTAAAAAAAAAGAAATCCCACAAGATCATATAAATAAATGCACAAAAAGCATTTGATAAAATCCAACACCCATTCATAATTAAAAAAAAAAAATCCCAGGGGGGGGGAAAAATCCCACAAGATCATATAAATATATGCACAAAAAGCATTTGATAAAATCCAACACCCATTCATAATTAAATAAGCCTCAGCAAACTAGGAATACAGGGGGGCTTCTTACTAAAGAAAATCTGTAAAAACCTACAGGTAATGTCATACTAATAGCGAGAAACTTACCTATCAAACAACAAAGATGACACCTGTATCTGCTTCTCAGGAGCCAGACAAACAAGAAGAACGGAGTGAAATATTTAAAATGGAGAGAAAGAGAGCAAGAAAGAGAGAGAGAGAGGGGGAGAGAGAGAGAGAGGGAGAGAGAGAGAGAGGGAGAGAGAGAGAGAGGGAGAGAGAGAAACGCCACTAACTACAGATTTGTGTCTTACAAAAATTATCCTTCAGAAATAAAAGTCTGCCCGTGTTGGTCACTATGTCCAGCCTCAGGCCAGAGAAACAGTAGGAAGAGAAGGAAAACGAGCCACCCTGTCTGAGAGCTGCGTAGCTCGCTGCTGAGGATAAGGCCAAGAGGGGCTGAGTACTTCGTTCGCGATTGTCCAGAGCGAGCCGGAGCCAGCCTTTAACCCAGGTGTGCGCTTAACCCGGAGCCGCTGAGACGATGTGTTCACGCTGCGAGACAAAGAATGATACAGAGAACTGACTGATGTTGCAAATCCAGTCCATAAGGTTCCAAAATCATTCTACTCATTGCCGCGCACTATAATTAAATGCAGTTAGAGATAGAGTGGGCTTTACCTCTGAAATGTAGGCCGTTTTCTCTTCCAAACCATGTAACACGTGTTTATTTGAATTTCAGATGTATTAACTTAAATGTCACTGCCTGGCTCTGATACTCCGGCCCAATTGCAGAAAAGATTGTTATGTTTGCAAGAACTTGGGAGTAATGTTCTTTCTATTCAGAAACTTAGGGACAAGTACTCTTGCTCTGCAGAAACACGCCAGGAGGAAGCTTAGCCTTCTTACAGGCTTCCTTCCCAGAACCCTCCTCTGAAGTGCGTAACCTGTCCAGACCTCAGCCGCCTTATGATTCCTTCCCGACCACCTCACCCTCCCTGGAGTCCTCAGCTTTTGATAAAGCCGGGAGAAATCCTCTCCAAATCACAGTTTTTGACCATTTTGGTGGTTTGCAGAATTCAGACTCTTACTTCGGGTGTTTGGTGACCTCCTTCAGCGCAGATCCTGAGAGGTGACGTTTATTTTATCCACAGGGTGGTTCTTCTGGTGGCCTCCATCTAAGTCACTTTGTATTTGCCCACCTCCTGGGAAGTTCCTGCTGAGTGCGCCCAGGAACCCACAGGACCTGGGCCACCCTGACTTGGCCCTCAGAGCCCCTGGCTACCATTACAGAGCGAACACAGCGTGGAGCTGCTGAGGGCTGAGTTCGGGTGATGCCGCTGAGATGCCAGGGTAGAGCTGTGCTGAAAACGAGGTTGCCTTCACAAGCCACGGTCTGTAGCCAGGAAACTGCAGCGCCTGTCAGAGGGAGAAGCCTGCCAGCCTACCGCAGCCTGCTGACCAGACGCTAAGCTGATCAAGAAGATCGATGGACTGGTGGGTGGCTGGGTGGATGGATGGATGGACTGGTGGGTGGCAGGGTGGACGGATGGATGGACTGGTGGGTGGCGGGGTGGACGGATGGATGGACTGGTGGGTGGCGGGGTGGACGGATGGATGGACTGGTGGGTGGCGGGGTGGACGGATGGATGGACTGGTGGGTGGCTGGGTGGATGGATGGATGGACTGGTGGGTGGCTGGGTGGATGGGTGGATGGGCTGGTGGGTGGCAGGGTGGATGGATGGATGGATGCCCGGATGGATGGGTGCACAGGCAGGCAGGGTGTTTCCCCCATCTCACTCAGGCTGCTTGGGCATTGACTTGACAAAGTAAACTAGCCTCGTGAGGAGAGACTTCTGGGTCCCTGAAATCCAAAGTGAAGTGGATTCTAAAAAACAGTCCTCGGGGGAACCTCTCCCAGCCCAGAAAACCAGACAGGGCACAGCCTGCCTCAGCCTCCGGCGCCCATGGCTGCTCCCCAGGTCAGGCCAAACGGTGCGGACACAGAACCCGGCCGGGCAGGTGCAGAAGCCGGCGCGCGCAGAACCGCGCCGGGCAGGTGCAGCACCGCGGCAAGGCGCGCGGGGCGGGCCCGACCCAGCCTCCCGG